TCTCTCTCTCTCTCTCTCTCTCTCTCTCTCTCTCTCTCTCTCTCTCTCTCTCTCTCTCTCTCTCACTCTTTCTCTCCCACTCCCTCTCTTACCACCATCACCTCTCTACATTCTCACACTGCACGCACGCACGGACCGGATACCTGGTTAGTCTCCGGGTCGTAGCCTCCAGTTACGAGGTCACCGCACACTTCGCACGACACATGCCGTCGCGGATCGAACTCGCTGCAACGCACGACAACGAGGACGACATTACGCGAGACATCGTGGAAATTAAATTCAAAAATCAAAGTTAAATCGAATCAATTATCATTATTTCGGATTACTACTAGTTACTACTACTAGTACTAGTACTACTGTTTATTACTAGTTTGAATCCTCGCTTTCGAAAAACGCTCTAGACGACTGCTGCAACAATGATGATGACGACACAAGATATTACGACAAACGAATGCAGCTCCCCCACCCCGCCACGCCCTAAGGTCGCCATGACCTTGAGATGGTCGATGACGCCTCGTTTCAATTATAGGTTACCGATTAAAAGCTTAGGATTGTTAGAAAATGATAAAATTACGAGCATGTCAGATACCAGTCGAACTCGCGCAACCACCGCTAGGGGGCACTCACCATCCTGCACTTTTCAACGCGCTCAGCAGAAGTCGAACGTACGGACCTGAAAGAGACATCACACCATAAGATGACACGTACGGCATGAGTACGTGAGAAGACCATAGCCTTGCTTAATTCACCTGTATTTCCATGGTTGTAATTAACATGATACCATATATATTTACTACTACATGCTTTATAGAATGCTGCAGCCACGCTCGATTTGCTGGTGTTTTTCCCTGGTTAGCAACCGCAACGATTAATTCACATTCATGTCAATACGTTAATAAAACTTATAATCAAATTCACGTAACATGTAACAGTGTGTACGTCTGAGGCGTGCATCCACAAAAAGGCAAGGAACTCTTTTAATGTATTAAAAACAACGTAAAAAAGTATATGCACAAATGTGGTAGATCGATAAAAAAATCAAAGGTTATCGAGACATAATTATAACAGCGACGATCACATGAGGTGATATGATTGAGGCATTCAAGATTCTTACTGACAGAGAGAAAGTGGACAAAAACAAACTTTTCATTATTTCCTCTGATACAAGAACCAGAGGTCATCAGTTTAAATTGATTAAGGCGCGATCACGCCTGGACTTGCGCAAGTACTTTTTCACACAGCGGGTGGTGGATTCCTGGAATTCTTTGCCAGTTAGTTGTGTTAGTGCCTCTAGTGTAAACACATTCAAAAATGAGATCGACAAATACATTGTGATTATTGGGGCTACTATGAGTCGGACGGCTCTCTTGCCCCCTGCCGCAATGCGTCTATGAGTCGTGCAGCGGCGACAGTTAAATACACACACACACATATATATTATATTATATGTGATAAGACACGATCATAAGTGGGACGATCGTGGCCCGGCGGCAGCGGCATGGCGACTATACTTTTCTGGATGCTGTAGTAGCAGTTCTTTTCGCACTTGATTTTTTCGATGTCCCTCCGACCTTCGCCCCAGATGAGCAAACCACTCCATGAAGTTTTCACTCTGTCTCCTACGAAAACACGAGAAACAATTAATTATTCATAGCTCAGAGTCAGGCTGTGTCAGTGTCAGTATGTGAGTCACTGACACTGTCACTGAGTCACGAGTGTGTGCCGTACGTGCTGTATTACTATTACTATTAATTTGAAATTACATCTGACCTTTACGTTCCGGGTAGAGATCGTATCCCCACGTTTCATTATCGTCCGGTCTCTCAGGTAAATCTGTGTTATTTGATGGTTGAGACGGAGTAGCTTTCGTTTCGCTTTTCGATTTTGTACTTTCAGTTTCACTGGAAGAGGACTTTTCACATGTACTGGGCGCTGACATGTTGATTCACATGTACTTAGACTGGTACCTTCTGTTTTCACTTACATGCTGAAAAATGCTAAAGCGACACGGCCCCCATCTATCGCAACGTCTGCGTTTATAAAACAATATAGCATCCTCGATCAACAACATGGCAGCCTCCATCGTAAATTCGCTAGTAAAAATAACAGCGTTGATATCCGCGTTTCTCTTACTCTTCGTCACTTTACTGGTAGTCAGAACGTTGCTTTTGGCACCACCGACTGCGCACGTGACAAAATGCGATCCAAAAGACGCGGATTTCATCAAGGCTGATGCAAGAGCGCTCCGAATATTTTCACGGGCCCTCACGATCAAAACAATTTCTTGGAGTGCGGATAAGATTAGCGGGGAAGCGCTATTGGAACTGCATCGTCATGTTTTCGAGAGTAAGCTTGTACTTTGTAGGCGTTACGCTCGCATTGGACACGAGCGATCGTCTCGCTTGTCACTGCTTGCAAGTGTCACTGCTGCAGCGCTGTGTCAGGGATAGAAATTAACTTTTGAACAAGGGACTTAGGGAGTCCAACGGACTCACCTCAGTCCCTGCCCTCAAAAAGAGGGAGTCGTAGCAAAATGAGGGAGTCCGCAGTCTGAAGTTCAAAATTAAAGATATTAACAATAACGCATACATGTGCTTATTTTGAAGATTCTTGCGGTTGCACGTCTGCCAAATTTTCTTTAGAAATTTGCTGAAAAAATATGGTAATTCCGCAAGGCCGTGCTCTGGAACGAACTAGTTAGTATGGCAGAATTTTCAGGGATTCACATGGACTCCTGCATATGTCAAATCAGGGAGTCCGGCAGTAAATCAGGGAGTATTTGACTCCGGACTCCCGTTAATTTCGCACCCTGCTGTGTAATGTAGACTGCATATGTAATGTATACTGTAGTCTGTAGTGCATTTAGTGAATTACAATCGTAAGTGTGTAGATGTCGTAGACATTTTGTAATGTAACCCAATACACACCTGTAGGAAAGCAGCAGGCCTGTGGCAATGACAATAGCTATAGACTACTAGAGCTATTGGAGTCGTAGGTCGTGGGTTTAGACGCGCTACCCTCGTACACGCAAATTCTTCTTCTTCTTCTTCCCGACTTCTCCCTATGAGATGTTTCCAAGCCTCCGCAGCAAAACCTAACACGAATAATCTGCCTATTTAAGTAAAAATCCGCAGTGTTGCTCTGTCTAGTATTTGTTCAACTTTGTCTCTCTCTCTGTCTTCGATATAGTCCCTTTGACTTTGAAGACTAATCTTTATGAAGTTATGCCTAAAATTACGGCCATCTTGCATCTCTGTCTTGCAAGCCTTGTGTCTTCAAGGTTATCCTCTCAAGAATTGAATAAAAAAATGATGTCCAACACGCGAATGCTCTACTCTTTTGGGTCTCTACTGCTCTTGCGCTAGCGTCTCTACCAATGATGACGATAGGCGTCCATGTTGCGTCTCTGTCTTGCAGGCTACCCTCTCATCCACTCATCACCGTATGTCCAGCTGGAGTTGGTCAACAACTACAGCCTCCTGTACACGGTCAGCGGAAGTGACCCGGAGCTCCAGCCATACATGCTCGCCGCACACCTGGACGTGGTGCCAGAGGGTGGGTGTGTCTTACTGAGGGGGCGGGAATGGAAGGGTGTTTTTTGGGGGGGGGAGGCGGACCCTTTAGGTTATTCCAAAAAACGAAAAACTATCTGATGAAAATTTTTTTTATAATTGAGACCCACATCCTGTGATGGTGACATAGAAAACCCACACCGAGAATGCAAAACACTAGCAATGACCAGCCTCGGTGTCCGTGGAAAGATCAGCTTGGCATGACACAGAACGTGCTACTTTGTCATCTCATCGCTACCTGTAAGACTAAATGGTTTCACGTTAGAGAGAGGATCATTATCATGTCTTTATCTAGAACGATCTCTTGTTTTCTAATCGTTTTCGTCGGCGTTGTCGCAGGTCGTCTGGAGGACTGGGAGGTGCCACCTTTCGCGGGGGTGGTCGATGACAAGCACATCTGGGGTCGCGGAGCCATCGACGACAAACACAGCATG